TCCGGGGAGCGGTGGCTGCGGGCGGGGGGGCTGTCACGGGTGGACCCGGGGGATGTCACGGGTGGGCCTCCCAGGAAAAGGGGGCGGGCAGGGGGGTTTGGAGCCGAAAGCCAAAACAGCGCCGCTACACCCCAAAGCGCAACCCCTGGTGAGAAAAAACCCACCCACGCAGGGTGGGCAATGCTGCTCCATCCCAGCCCCCCCCCTCCGTTCTTGCGGGTCTGTACAAAACACAACCCTCAAGGAGACGCTTCGGTACAGGTGATGGGTTCGGCACCCCGAAAGCACCAGACCCCCACGCAGCATCACCTGTCCCAGAGCTGGCACCGAGCGAGATGGGACAGAGGAGGGCAAAGGAGGAATTTTATCCCCCGCGGTAGGAACATCTCTCCCTGAAGATGCGCCCAGCGATAACGAAGTAGGAAGGTTTTCACCCGGCCAGCCCCAACCCCAAGGAGAACCTGGCTCATCTGGCAGCCTACTGGCCCCCACTGGTGTCCTCTAGCCCCAGTGGGCAGGGAAAGGCTGTGCTGGGACCCCCATCCCCTGGGCTCTCCCTGTCCCCCACCTGCAGCCTGCAAAACAAGGGATCCAAACGCCCACAAACTCCACCTCAAAACCTCCCTGGAAGCCATAAAGTAAAGGGGATCAGCAAGGCTACACTGCATATTCCAGCTCCTCCGCTCGTTCTCCCAAGTCCCTCCTGCCAGGCAGCGTTTGGGAAGGGCAGAGCTGCCCACGGCCACTCCATCACATCAGTACCCAGGAGGGTTCCAGCTATTTTCAAGCCAGGCGCAGCAGGTCTTCAGGGTTTTTGGTTCTAAAATTAGAGCAGTGCCAGGAGGAAGAACAACCAAGTGACATCTCGGGGGTCAGAGCTGGTCAGCGCCACCAGGAATTCATGAGGCATTACTGTGAGCCGCCCCTCAGCTAACACCAGCTACGGGCAAGCTGGCCGGGGAGGGCAGAAGTGCAGACGGAGGGAATGGTGACAAATCCATCCCAGGAACCGCGGCTCTGCAAGCACGGGCAGGCAGCCAGGCTTGCGCTCCGGGGATTTGCAGAGTACCCGTCCAGATTGCTTTGCAAAAACAAGGCGCTTTTACGCTGAGGGCGGTTTTGGAAAGTACACGGGATTCTTGTAACAGAGAGATGAAGCCCAGGAGAAAGAAAAAAAAAAAAAACACCAAGGAAAAAAAAAAAAAAAGACAAACATACGTTGTTCCAAGGAGCGTGTCCAAGAACCTGTCACAGCAGCACGAGGCACAAGAACATGAAGATCGCAGGCATACGTCACCGATTTACAGACAAACAGCAACGATCAGCCCTGCGAACACTTGGCTCCTTCTTGGTACCAGAAGCAAATTCTCAGAGGACCTTTGAGAACACACCGGTGACGGAGCGGGCAACAAGGACAGAGCAAGTGTTTGCTACTCCCTCACCCCCGAGGGAGCCTGTGTACTAGTCCTAATTTGTTTCCTCCATCCCTGCTAATCCTACCCACCCAGAGTAGGAGTTCCCACCGGGGAGAAGGGAATTAGATTTTCTCAAGGATGATAATCCATTTAAATATGGCACCTCTTAGGAGAGTCGGCACTTTTCCCAGCGAGCAGCCCTGCTCTCCGCCCAGCCCGCCCTCTCCCACGTGCCCGGGGAGACAGAGGTGGGTCCCATCCCTTGAGAGCACCAAGTCGTCACAGCAGAGGGGTCTGGAGAAACAGCAGCTGCCTCCAGGTCTTGCTTAAGAGAAGACGTGCTTTAATCCAAAGTGGCATGAAGTCACTTGTGGACTTGCTGCCAGAGCAGCTGATCCAGGGACACAGAAACAGCTCTACCCCCACTTGAAGGCCCCCATCAGTTAACAGGGTTGGCTTGAAACTTGGTGAAGCAAGACACATCGCCCCCCTGTGTTTGAGAGCACAGGAACATGCTGCTGTCATCAGGGGACACTCACAAGCCCATCTCTACCTGCCTCTGCCCCTTCTGCCTGCATGGGCACGACCCTCTCCAAGTGCCACCACCACAAAACTGATCACCAGAGAAGGGATGGACTCACCTCTTGGTACCATGCTGCATCTGCTTTACTTGCCTGGAAGAGCTTCAGGAGCTCCAGAACCCCAGTGACACTGGTCCTACAGGCGTCACTTGTGGGTCAGACACTGAAGACAGCTCTGGAGCAGCTGACAAAGCCCCTTTGAGCTGCAGGCCACCACCAAGCCACATCCCAGCGTGCCTCCCCCTTTGGGAAACCAAGAAGTTACACAAACATGAGCTTTCTGTTATCCAGCTCCCCAAAGTAATTTCAGATCAGAAACAGTCCAAAAAGCCAATTTTAGAAAGTACCAGTTTATTTGAGGGGGGGAAAAAAAATAATCAGTAACAGTGGAAAATCCCCAAGAGCAATTACACAAGAGAATCTAAATATCCCGAGAAGCAGACACTCCTGCCTTCCTGGTAGTGCTGTCCATAGGCAGTAAAGTCATCTCTCTCCTTCCCAGTCTACAGTGAACTCTGTGCAGTTTAGAGCCTCCCAGAGCCCACAACTTCCCCAAACACGCTTGTCCTGGGACCAAGTAAGTGAGTCAACCCGGAGGAGGAACCTTGGGAAAAGTCCTCTCGCACCGATGTCTCAATACATGGCTCCCCCTGAGATCTCTGCTTCGCCTGCCCAGCTCCGAGAAGCAGTTGCCACCGTCTGAAGCTGAATTTCTTTGTTCTATCGCCTCTACGAATTTGGCCTCAAGCCTACAACAAAGCCTGGGTAAGGAGGCTTCAGGAGTCGATGAGATTTCTGAACAGCCTTCGCAACCATCTGGTTTTGTGCTGCCTACCCAGTTAGACAGTTTAGGGACCCACACTCAGATTGTGTCTTAAACCGCACTCAGATTCCAAGAGCTACAGTAGGACACGACTTGCACAAAGTCATTCTGCAACACTTTCCTGAAACAGAGGCATCGGACACACACGTTACCCTTTGCTCTGGGAGCACTGGGGGAATTGGTCTAACTCTCAGTAGAGGTAGGAGCTACGCACATGATATACTAAGAAAAACCCCGTGCAGGAGGTTCCGAGCTAGCCGTCTACGAAAGCTCCGTGCTCCCAACAGGGAGCTGCCATCAAGGCAGACCTCTAGCTCCCAAAGCCAGCCTTCTGCAAGAGGCAGGTACTCGGCACAGTACCGCGGGGGACTCTGCGGCACAGCCAGCCCCCAAAACAAAGAGTTATTTTCTCTGTACTGCACGCTTCCAAGGCTCGCTTCAAAAAGCAACCCCAGAAGAGAGATGGAGATCTCTGCTCCAATTCAGAGCACCAAACCCGGCACATCACCGACCCGAGCTGCTCCAGGCACAGCCCGGGACGCACGAGGGAGCCCCAGAGCTCAGGCTGCTCCCAGCCACCTTCCCAGCACAAGTCCACTTGCGCTCCAGGCAGGACACTGGACAAACAGCAGTACAAACGAGATCAAGCCTCTTACACACACTAAGGCTGCTGAAGAATTAACTCCAGCCTTTTCGCTCTTAACTGTGTATTTCTCAGTAAAATATATAATATATAGCTCTACAGGACTGATTATAATATATTACAGGCTAGAAATACTCTCATCTTTTCCCTACTTCAATCATATTATGAATCCAATTTTGCATACAGATTATTCCTACAAGTTATTGCCTTGGATTCATAATTAAAATTCACAGAATAAAGCTTAAATAGTTTTCACAGAGACTCATTATATTAGTGTTTTACATAAAAAAAGATAAAAGTTACTAAATGAGAAGAGCAGCCATTTCAGAAACTATAAATAATTCTATTTAAAAAAAAATAAAATCAAATCCTAAAAAAAGGTATGGGAAAAACATAAATATCTTTACCCTCTCCAGTAGCTGCTATAGAACTAAAAGAAACCTGTAACACACTGTAGCTAACTCTGCTTCAGTTCAGAATATGAATCATATAAAACAACATCTCTAGAGAAATGCCCGGCCAAAGGAAACACAAAGGGATTGAAAAAATAAATCTGAGGAAATTAAAAAAGTAGATTTTTTCTTTTATTATTATTTCAAAACAATTTCTACAAACTTTATATAAACATTAGGCTATTTTCTTTAAAATTTTGTTATAAAAAAAATCCTACAAGCAATCCTTAAAAAAAGGTAAGAGAGTGAAGGCAAGGAAAGGGTGTCGTCATAGCCAAACAAAACTGGCTGTCCCGATTTCATGGATTAATGACCCTTGCCTGGGGCCGACAGGAAGAGACAGAAGTCTCCTGAGGAAGACATTCCCATAGGCCCTTTACGGCATTCAGGGATTTTGAGCCCCTGTGGGCCTTTTACTCCCTGATAAGGCAACATTATCTGTAGTGTTAGAGATTCATAAATAGTTCTCCACAAAAATGCTTCACATCAACAGCCTGCTGCAAGACATCTATTAGCAAGGTTTATAAAAAGAAAAGCCATCTTCTATAGAACCAGCCAATCTGAGCACGGCACGCCGGATGCAAACACACGGTGTTTGCTTCCATACAGTCTGTTTTGTGTTTATATACCCTCTATAAAACCAAGCAGAAAATTTGGCATCTTTTATTCTTTTTACACTAGCTTTAGAAAAAAAATACACTGAGGTGTTTTGGTTTTTTGTTGGGTTGGTTTTTTTTTTTTTCAGACTCTTTGTATTTCATTGGGCCCCTGTTAGCTGAGCAGGATGGGAAGGGTCATGTAGGAAGTTTGTTTTTTCTCGAAGTCGCTTTGAAATTCAATCCAAAAAGAGCATTTGTTCAGCACATCTCATCTGAGGGCACAGTGTTTCCATACAGTCCGTTTGTCCCTTGATGGGCAGAAGGTGCTGCTGAGCTCTAAGCATAGAACTCATTTGTAGGGGCTTTCTTGTAGATCGGTTTCTTCCCAAGGTCGTAACTGCCTTCGTCCTTTTTCTTCATGCGATAGACTAAGAGCAGGATCAGGAAGACAGCGAACAGGAGACCCACTGCCCCTCCTGCAATGAGAGCTGGGGAGGGGAAGAGAGCATAGAGCAATGGTCAACTCCTGGACAACTCCAAACCATCAGCTACATCTCCAAATCTGCTTCAGGAGTACCAGCCCCCCAAACTGCCTCCAGAGTCCATGCTGTCCATGTGCCTGTCACCACACGTGCTGGCATTTTTAATGACAGCAGATGTTATTGGAAAAGGCCAGAAATTGCTTTTCATCCAACTACAGAATAATCACACGTTCCACACTAGCCAGTTTGTGTCAATAATCCAGTTCAGTGCAAGAAGGAAGTTTTGACAAAAAGACATCCTGCCCGCATGGAGACACAACAAAAAAAACACCACCCAAAAAAGCCCCACCACAACCCACAAACACCATCAACTCCAGGAAAATGGTACAGCTCCAATTCAAATGCTTTGTTAACTACCTGTGTGAGTGCGCTCTGGGGACTCTGTATTTCAATTAAACAGCAACATCTCACTACCACCACCTCCCTCCAAAAAACACAACCACCACCACCACAAACCCACAAAAACCCACCAAGGTTTTCTCTGTCCTCACACCAAGGATAGCCACAAGACTTCAGGGAAATTTATCCTTTGCTGTGACACGTACTCATCGCACTAAAACAATTTAGTTGTTCGGTGGCTTTGCAATCCACTCCTCCAGCTGGAAGGATGGCTGCAGAGCAGCAAGATGTGCTGAGGTTTGTACTCAGACCATCAGGCCAAGTGCTTGACGAAGTGTGCCTTGAGACAGATCTATCCCACATGCTGAGGGGAAGCCAGTCGCTCGGTTTTGCTCTAGACAGAGGTACTTAAATCGGAACAGTTGACTAGGTGTTCAAGTCCCTTAGAGGAATTGTTTGGTTCCTTGCAAGGCACAGAAAAGGCGGGACTTGGGCAGAGGTCAGAAGGAAAATGCTTGTATTTGATATGAAAGTCTATGATGTCATTGATTTATGGCTAGATACGCCTCCTGTGAGGTGGTATCTGGGTGCACAGCAGCTGCCAGATGACTTGTGTGGCACTTAAGCCATCAGTCACCTGGCAGGTTCAAAACCAAGCTGTTTACCCCAGCAAGGCAAGCAGTAGGCTCTCACGCTGTTTAAGGACTAGAAGGCAGAAGGGACGCTGCTACCGGCAGTCACAGAGGTACACTCACCTGCCTTGCCTTGTCAGTAGGAAACTGCTCCCCAGAGAAACAGGGAACGACAGAAGCCATTTTGATTTACAGTATTAATGATTTATCAGGACAAGGTGGAGTATTACCTGTAAGGACTTCTGTTCTTTCAAAGATGCTGCTGTTGGCTGTGCTAGCCATGGAGATCTTGTTGGACAGGTTCTCTTCAACAGGTACAGCTTTGTCTGGAATGATTTCATTGTCCACCATTGTGTTTTTCTTCTCACCTTCTATCTTTCTCTCAGTATCTCCAGGGATATAGTTGTCAGATATCTACAGAATATAGACAGACCACACCCATCAGTAAGCAGCACCCAGCCTACCTACAATTAAAAACAGGAGGGTGTGCAGGGAAAAGAAAGTTTGCTTAGTGCATTACAAGCACACTGTTCTTGCTCCTGCAGGTAGATTCATCTTGATGCCACGTCTTGCAGGGGGAAGGGTGTTCAGAAAGCTTCACAGACAGACCAGAGCAGCTACATATTGCTTAAAACATGCAGAGGCAATACCTACCGCAGGAGTATCCATGGTGGTCAGATATATGGCATCTTCAGAGTCTGGGTAGTCTGCAGAGGAGGGGGGAAATAAAATTTAAAAAAAAAAAAATAAATAGAAGAGGACACTAAATTTTCCTCTCATTACATGCCATTTTTCCAGAATTCAGATACTTTCTGCAATACCAGCAACTGCAGACAAACTAGGACTCTTGCTCTCTGCTGACTACAATTCCCTTTTAGATAAAAGTACTTTCGCTACTTTATGGCTTTGATTGCACAAGACCATGAGATGCAATTTCAAGGCCCTCTTGCACAGGAGGGCTCTGCAGCTGGATCCATCGCTTCCTGCTGCAGATTATCAGGAGTTGCCCTGCAAACCAGGTCTGCTATAGCTTGCTAAGCTAATGCCAAGGGAGGGCAATGCTCTCACCACCCATCCCTAAAGGGTAGTTCGCCAACCCTCTAGTTATGAGATCTGCCCAAACATGTCAGTCACCGATTTCAGCACTTGTTCTTTCCCTTTTAGAGAACAAATGTTCACACAAAGGGGACATGGAGCTACAGAAACTGGTTTGGGCAGGGAGCTTTGCATGTCACAGGGAGTTCACTTCAACACCAGTTAGTCCTTTACCTCGTTTGGCCTCAGCTGAGACACTAACTTCAACCTTTTTAACACTGACTCAACAGATTTCAGCACTTGTTCTTTCCCTTTTAGAGAACAAATGTTCACACAAAGGGGACATGGAGCTACAGAAACTGGTTTGGGCAGGGAGCTTTGCATGTCACAGGGAGTTCACTTCAACACCAGTTAGTCCTTTACCTCGTTTGGCCTCAGCTGAGACACTAACTTCAACCTTTTTAACACTGACTCAACAATAGATATTTTTAATTATTTTTTTTTTTACCCCCACAGTGGCTCAGAAGTTCTTTGGAGTCGAACAGGAAAGAGATCCGGCCAGTGCAATGCCTTTTCACCCGCAGTAAGGCCAACTTGGCTGGACTCCATCTGCCCTCCCCATGGCCCCCCAAGTGATTCAACATCACGGTACAACCACTTTCACTGTTCTCATCTGTGAGAGCCTATGAATCACGCGGCTTTCTCATCTCCACCTGACACTGTAGTTCCCTCTGGAGCTCTGGCTCTTCACTTAGCCCATCACTCATGAGTGGTAGAACTGGGAAGAATTTCACAGCATCAACTGAGGGAGATTTATTTCCCCCCTTCCTCACTTACCTCCAGACCCAGATGCCTCATCTATATCTAACCCATCAGAAGTTAAGTGAGGCCCAAATTCACCAATGTCTTCATCATCTGGCAAGTCTCCAGAGGCAGGGTAGTCAAGCCATCGGGCATCCATGGTCTCGGTTTCTCTTACCTGAAAATGGAGGTGGAGAAGTGTTAAGTATCAGGCAACTCCTCAGAACCATTTCACAAAAGGTCGGGAGTTCAGAGCGTGTGCTGAGCACATCACTTCCATCATAAGAACATTAAATGCTGAACTTCCTCTCCACCAAGAACATTATCTTCATCAGCCTGGAAATAGCTGAATTCCCCTAGAATTTTTCAGAACAGAAGTGAGAGCGTGCCTGTCAGTGGAATTTCCTGAGGGCTGCAGATTCAGGAGGTTCACTTGAACCCACAGGCCGAAAATAACAGAACAGGATCTTGGTCAGGAGTTTGTAGCAAAAGCATTTGGAAAAGCAATACCTTCAGTTTGTGATAAGAGGGGATTTGGAAGGACTTGCTATTCCCAGAGGAAAAGCCTGGCACCTAGGTCAGTTTTCTGCATAGCACTGAAGCTTCACACCAAGACAATTTGTTGCTTCTTGTGTTGATAACAACCCTATTTTATCACCCAAGAGTTAAAAACTGGCCTGTCAGTTCAGCTGAACTGCAGAGCAATATTGTGAAGGTTCAAGAGCGCTTGCTATCAATAACGACTTGCCTGAAGGAAGAGCTTCCCCTGCCTCACCTCTTAAAACGCATGTAAACAAACAAGCCTGTAAATCGAAGTCCACAATCCTATGGCCGGATGACTGCAGCTACAGACACACGTTAGCCAAACAGCAGGAGAGCCTCCCAGGGAATCAGCTGTTTGGCCACAATGACCATTTACCCACCAGAGCTCATTTGCACTTGGACCTTCAAGGAGCCACAAGTCCAAACCTCCTGCCCTCACCAAGGTTATGCAATTTGCCCAGAACTATTTCTCCTCGCCCCACAGCCCTGGGGCCAGCCCCGGTGAGGGTACCACAAGTATGAGCTCTTGGGTTGCTCAACACCAGCCCACAGCAGCTCCAGATGCTGCCACAGCCATGAAGTCATCACCGTCATGGGGGACTCAACCCCTTCCCCTACGGCAAGGAGCACAATGCAGATGGATGGGTCCCATAGCCAGGGGCTAAACCGCCAGCATTTTTTCATGCTGTCCCCACAGAAAGACTGGGAACATGTTCTCTGGGTGTCTCCTAGAACTTGGGCTCAAGTCCTGAAGGTTTAACTACCCTGGAGAGCATTTTTAAGGCACTCCATTCTTGCACATCTGATGGCTCTTCTTAATGTACAGGTTTAGCATGAGCTACGGCCTCACAGGGGGGTGAAGAGCAGAGACTCACGGGGACAGTTAGAGCTGGGTGGCACCAACCGAGCCCCAGCACTTGCTGCTTCATCAGGGCGGCAGCAAGACCCCGAGTATGAGGTAAAGGGTTCTGCAGCTCCAGTGGCCGGGATCAGCCTTCCTGCTCACCTGGCCATGCATGGCCCATGCTACAGCCCGGGGGTGACACCAACTGATGAATCACATCCGCTATCGATCTCACAAGCAAAGGCCAACAATCAGCCACAAGCCATGTGTCAGCTTCCCCTGCCCCACAGCCCCAGCCCCGCTTCCAGCCCAGATTTCCCTGCCCATTAGCATACTGGTTTTGCCACAAACAAGGTCTTGTGGTCAGGACAAGATGTTTCTCATTTTGCATAAGGAGCAGTGGCTACTAGATGTGCTTATTGAGGCATCTTTGGTTTCCCCAGCAACTCCGCTGGAGGATAACCAAATGACCAGCCCAAAGGGCATGAAGTGCTGAGGCCAGCTCTCCTCCTAGACCCCCTGTCTCCGCTCTGCCTGAGCCTGGCACTGGGCGGTGGGAAGGGGGCTGGGGAGGAAGGCCAGCTGGGAAGAAATCCCCTCCCATCGTGGAACCAGGCATTCCTAACATTATGCATCAGTCACTCCAAGGCAAATTCATTTCGAGATATGTGAAACCCAGCCAAAGCCAGACCTGCAATGGAAACTGCTGCCAGCACGCAGTAGCTGTTCCCATCAGAGCTTCTGGCCATTTCATCAAGGGGCAGGAAGAGCCCAATTCCCGTCCGTGCCCGAGCAAGGGCACCGGGGCTGGGGAGCATGTTTGCTGCAGATCCGTATAACCCAGCTGCTGCGTCAGGGCAGATCTATGTTGGCAAGAGCGCTGCGCCGAGCCGCACCCCTGTGCCAGCTCACGCCACACTTCATTATGAATCACAGCCAGCTAATGTCCTAACGAGGGTGGCTCAAGAAAACCCATGTTTAGGCCACCGAGTGGCTGGACAGCAGGCTGGCCTTATCAGATCAGCCCAGCCGCAAGCAAAGCAGTGGCGGACAGCCACGGTGATTAGTACATACTGTGGAACGCACCAGGTTTGGCTATCAGAAAACCCTATTTAAATCAGGACAGACAGTGTTTACAAGCCAGAGGACATAACAAGGAAATTACTGACTCACAAGCGTAAATAAGATTATATGGGAGCGTACCCTGAGCTCACTCTTCATCATACTCTTGAGCAAGGACAGGGAAGTTCCTGGAAGCCACGAGAGCTTCTCAAACTGTACAGGAAACTTTTCTCATGGCCAGCGAACCTCATTTCACAAGTTCTTCTGCCAGGCAAGTTAGAGGGCTGCTGGACATCTCTGCTCTTACCCTCCAGGTTTCAAGACACGCTCTCCTAGGGAACAGGCTCCTCCTGGGAGCTGGGGCACAGACAGCCCGGGAAGAGTTAAGCACTGGGGTGCTGTGCTCGAAGGGCAGGTCTGGAGCAGGCACATTCCTCGCATACACACCTGTGATAGGGCACACAGGCACTTTCACACACTTTAAAGCAAGAGCTTTGGGCTTCCCAAGTGCCACATAAACAGCTCTGAGTACTCCTTAAAAAGCGCACCTCTTTCCAAGAGGATTCGGTCCTCCCTACAGCTCCACTACCAGGTAGAGAGGCACCACAGAAGGTGCCCATGCTTCCTCGCGGATGGCAGGCTGCAGCCAAGAGGAAAAAGCTAGGAGACTGCCACAGGACGATGGCCAGCCCTTGCCAAGTCATCTCTAGTCATATTCAGCTTAACACCTTCTGCAATCGCCAGCTGGAGAAGGGCACCGGCACTGCCCGGAGTCTGCTTTCCACCACCTGTTATCCCAGCACTGGAGCCGGGCCAGGGACTTGCTGGGAGAGTTGGACTGGGCGGCTGCAGAGCCCCACCTCGCCCCAGCAGCTGAAGTTGAGCCCTACTATTAATATGATCTTCTCTAGGATGGGTCTGTACAGAAAACAACCTTTTCTGCAGGAGTCTAGTTCCAGGATTTCTTCTTCACGTTAGGCAGCTTTATTCCCAGTAAGCACCATGGGGGATTAACCAACGTGCTGGGGAGCAGAAGCTTTTCCTGCCTGCCAGTGGCAAAAAAAAATAAGAGTTTATTCCCTGCCAGACAACCAGCACGTCAGGCACGTGAACTATGAGCGTCATTCCTGGAAAAGCCGGGCACAGAGGTCTCATGTTTGAGCCCGAGACAGGCTGTGCTACTGGATGAAGCCAGACACTGTTTACTCAGTTCAGGCACAGGAATTACACCCCTGGCACCTCAGGCAGGGGCTGGCAGCCTTGCTGGGCTCCATCCCCAGCCCACCCCACCCCATTTTGTGTTCCTGGGGCCTTCACTTTCAGCCCCAGCATACTACTAGCTGCTTCTCAAAGCAAGAATATCTATTTATTGAGGCAGCAAGTAAGTTTTCTGTCTGATGTGAGAATTTCCCCTGTCACTGCCTAGTTCTGGGAAATAACAAACCTAGGCAGCTCGCCTGCCCCAGTCCACGTGTCCTCACCACAGCCTTTGCAAACCCTTTCAAAAAAAAACCCCAAATGATGTTTTGGGGCAGAGACAAAGTTTTCCAGACGTGAAACTGGCTTTTATGGCAGGCTCTTGTCTCTGATCAAACACACCAGAGTTCATTAAAAACTTCTTTGAAGGGTCGCAGCCAGCAAGCTGCAAAGGGAGTCAGACCTGCAGAGACTCGGGCATCCAAAGCGCAGAGAGCTCTTTATCAAGTTCATAACTTTGGTGTGGAGACCCAGCGCTCGCTCTTTCATCTCCCTCCCCAGCACTACGTACACAAGTCTAGGAGTAAACAGGAGCAAGGTGAAAGTCAGCCTTTCCTAGACAAAAGCACATGGAGCTGGGCCAGCCTGGGAGGTGGCAGACAAGGGGGCAGAGGTGCAGACCTGTTAACTCTTTGTAGCCTGCAGGGACAGATAAAAGCAAGTGGCTCCTAGGGCCTTTGTCAGGGGCTCTGTACTAGGGGACAGTTTTATGGATCACCTTGTGAGCAGTATTACACAAAAGATCTTTCCCAGACCTGGGCTGTCAAAGGCAAATGTCACCTTCCACCACAACGCACATACAGAGAGACTTAACCAGAAAGGGCTCCTGGACAACATGAGCAGCTGCCTGCATGGCCCAGCCTAGGAGCCTGGTCATTAGGAGATCATTCTTGCAAAGCCACTGCCCTGGCCCTCATGCTGCCCTGCACCATGGGCCAAAGAACACCAAATCCGATGGGGCCTTTCCAGTGCAAAGATGCAAAGCTCTGTAAACCACCAAGCTCAAGGGAGGGGATTTCCATACAGTTCACTTCCACCAAGCTCTTGCAGGAGCACACAAGCCAGGAAGGTTTTAAAGTGTGCAAAGGAACCAGGATCAGGAGCTGAGCTCACCCACTCGAAGCATGCCAGCCCCCAAAAACCAGGGAAGCAGAGGGTCCACACAGTGCTGGAAACGGGGCAGCTCAGATGCATGCGAGTCAGCCAAAACCAGCTGACCTCCGAGGGAGGGGGGCACACAGCGAGGTAACGGGCAAAGACAGCTCTATCTTCCCATTCTAACAAGCATCAAAAGAAAGTTATTAGAAGTGACGGAAGCTTCCGGCAAAAGCAGCTCCTGCCAGACTAGTAAGGGAAAGGTCTGCGTTTTCCCCCAAACCACCCTTTACTCCCTCCCCTCCCTCCAGGCTCCAGCTCCATGTAGGGGGAGGAAAAAAAAAAAAGAAAAAAAAGAAAAATACAAAAGTC